AGTAATACCTCCCATACAAAATCCTTTTTTTTGGCCTTCTCATCTATCCAGTTTACTGTTAGTTCTTTCTTGGTAAACTAGTACTTTGAATTCCAAGTTCCATCATTTCACAATCAGCAAACTCCTCTAGTTTGGGTTTTAAAAACATAACTATTACTTTTAAATTAAAATATATCAAAAACAAAACGCCCTGAGTATAATGACAAACAACCATGGCAAACCAATATCACTAATCTTCAACTGGGCTACAGGTGATTTATAAGATTTTGTGCTGGCTGAGTTCCTGATGAAGCAAATCTTTCTTGCATGAAGAAGAAGAGGCTAATGCTGTCATAATAGCATTTTCTTCAGCTTTGCCTGCAATCCCCAAGAAACACCTCATTTGGCATTTCTTGAAAAGGAAATTTGGGCTTGGGAATTGAATAAAAATAAGGAAAACATACTCCTCTGTTTCAGCATCACATGTAATTGTACAATCATAGAATCTCTCAAGTTGAAGGGCCCCACCTAGAAGGACTATCAAATCCAAACCCCTGCTCCAGCCAGACTACCTAAAACTAAATCACAAGACTATGAGAATCATCCATCTGACACTTGGAATCTGACAGCATTGGTGCCCTGACCACTTCCCTGGGGAACCCCTCTCCAGTGATGAACCATTTTGGTAAATAACCCTTTCCTACTGTCAAATCTGAACTGCCTCTGAAGCATCTTCATTCAGTTTTCTCATGTCCCATTGCTCTGTGGCATGTGATGTACTTCAGGACATAGTTGGCACTTTTGGATAAGAAGGCACACAGGACATACATTCTAGCCCTTTCAACAGCTTTGTCACATCCCTTTGGGTGCATTTTATTACATTCACATCATCCTTCTTAGATGGTAGAGCCCAGCACTGCACTCAGCTTGGAAAGTGAGGTGGCATTAATGCTGAATACAACAGAATCATCTCCTATTTTAACTATCTGGTGCTGTATGATGCCCCCAGGATGCAGTTTGGCCTCTTGGCTGCCTGGACACTGCTGGCTCACAATGAGCCTGCCATTGACCAACAACAAAAGATCCTGTTCTGCAGGACTGATCTCCAGCCACCCCTTTCCCACTTCATACTTGCATCCAACTTATTCTCTCGTAAGTACAGAATCACATAATCACAGAACATGCTGCATGGGAAGGGACTCATCATGATTATCAGCTCCAACTCTTTCTATGCAGTATACCCTAAGAATCACATCATATGCCTGAGAGCATTGTCCAAACTGTTACAGTGCCAACTACCCTGGAAGAAAAACTTTTTCTTGATATCCAACCTAAACCTCCCCAACTCATCTTCATGCCATCACTTTAGGTCCTGTCACAGGTCACCACTGAGAAGAGATCAATGCCTGCCTCTCCTCTTCCCTTCATGAGGAATTTGTAGACTGCAATGAGGCCTCCCCTCAGTCTCTTCTTCTCCAGGCTGAATAGACCAAATGACCTTATATGGATTCACCATCAAGGCCCTTCACCATCTTCATTGCCCTCCTTTGAACACTCTCTAACAGCTCAATGTCTTTCTTGAATTGTAGCACGCAAAACTGCCCCCAGCACATGAGGTAAGGCCACCCCAGTGCAGAGCAGAGTGGGACAATCCCCTCCCTTGGCTGGCTGTGATGCTGTGTCTGATGCACCCCAGGACACAGGTGGCCCTCCTGGCTGCCAGGGCACTGCTGACTCATGTTCAACTTGTCATTGACCAGGACCCCAGGTTCCTTCCTGTGGTGCTGCTCTCCATCTTCTCATTCTCTAACATATACACACAACGAGGGTTGTTTGTCCCATCCCAGCTGCAGAATCTGGCATTTTTATTTATTAAATTTCATGCCACTGATGATTGTCAATGCTCCAGTCTATCCCCGTCCCTCTGCTAGGCCTCTCATACCTCAAGAGAGTCTAGACTGGTATCATCATTGCTACTGAGGTGTTGTTCAGCTCCTGCATCCTGATCATTGATGAAAATATTGAACATAGCAGATCCTAGGATTAAGCCCTGGGGAACACTACTGGTGACAGGTCAGCAACCACTGATGGTCTCGTTCACTCCAACACATTCTTTCAATCAGTTCTTCATCATCTTGTCATTTTGTAGTTGGACAGTTTATCCAGGAGGATGCTGTGAGAGGTAGCATCAAAAGCCTTACCAAAAGCTAGAAAAACTACAACCACCTTCATCCATGTGTCAGGGGACCTTGATGTAGAAGGACATCACAATTATTAACCAGAACTTATGCCTAGTCAACCTGAGTTGACTGTGTCTGATTCTTGCATTGTTCTCTCAGTAGTACCCAGCATGATCTTCAACATTTTTCCAGGAAGCAAGGATAGACTGACAGGGCTATAGTCACCCAATGTATTATAGACTAGCTGTTTGCTGGACATTTTGTCCAGAAGATTACTGTGAAAGATAGTATCAAAAAACTCACAAAATTCACAAAAACTCCACATTTACTCACTTAATTCGGTCATCTAGATGGCTGTTCTTGTTCTTGTACTTGTTCTCACATATTGAGTTTAAAATGTTCACAGTGGCCAGTGCCTCTTAGGGGGAAAAACTGTGAACTTAAAGTTTGGTAACAGTTGTGCTAAGTGTCTTACTGCCTCTTTAGCTTCAAACACCTACTTTTCTGCTATACTTACTCAAAATATTAAAATTACCTCAATACCAACCTATTCACTTAGGAGAGGAAAAAAAGAAACATAAAATTATATGAAAATAACCAGTGAAAAATTACTTGCTGGTCATTTTCATTTGATAACTCTATTTTCTATCATATTATCTATCTTTTTTGTTGACAAATTTTCCAGATTTTGATCTTGTATTGCAATCTAGCTCTACCAGAAGAAGTTTATATTCTCTAGCTGGTACAGTGGTGTAGTGCAGCACCATTTATGGGAGCAACTGCTGGATTGAAAAATGTGCCCTTACTAGAAAAGATAGTCTGCTTGACTTTAAATCGTCATGTACGTACTCAGGGCTCACGGACAACAAATTGAAATATCCTACCTTTCTTCTATTATCAGAACAGTAACATCTCTATTGCTGTTGTTAAGCTGAATCAGCATTTCTAGAATATGCCCATATTTTCAGTGAAGGGATTTACAATGCTGGTGTTAGCATTCAAACTGGACTGAAGCCCAGCATTAAAATCACCTGCTTAAGAACATTATTCCAAAGCTTTTGCATGTGAGAATATATTGTTATGCTAGCTAGTCTCAAAAAGTCCAGTCTAATTGATATTCAAGAATACTTCACCTTATTTATATCCAACATATATATTTCCAGCCAGGATCAGCTTCCCAGAGACATATTTCAAACCTTGAAGAAGAGCAACACTGGAATAGAGACTTTTCTGCATTTTTTTCTTCCAAAAGAGAGAAGAATCTGAAAATTCTGGTTGGCATTGTTCTCAGTGTAAGCTGCAGCATAATTAATGGCTTGTAGATACATTTTTGCCATGCATAAATATTTTATTTCCACAGGACTGTAAAAATTGAGATCTTAAACTGTCCAGAAAACTGGAAGATGCGGGAAAAAGATAGAGGCGTACTCCCTGGAACTTATTGATGTGTTTTACTACTTGCAAAAATTCTATAGTCCGCACTATATTTTCTAGATTCTATTTATTTGGATTCAGTTATAATTAAGATGTGCACTTAGAGGGGATTTAATTTCTCCTTTCTCAAAAAAAAAAAAAAAAAGTTATATTCTTACAGCCACGGTTTTCTTTTTACTGAAAAGGTGTCGGAATCTGTGGGTATTGGTGATTCCGAGATTGTAGAAAGTCTCTGTCTTTCTGCCCCATTGCCAAAGAAGAAGCCATAATTCGTCTGTGCTGTTTTCAAGGTTGTTTATTCTTGCTTATCTATAACATGTTCTGCTGCCCTGCCGCAGGTCTGTCCTGCAGGGCAGCGTGCAGGGCTCTGCCCCCAGTGGGATGTTACAAACATTATATACCAGAAACTACGTGCACTATATTTACAATAATGTGCCAATATCTATCATCTACGTTGAACAGCGTGTCCCCAGCCTAAACCAATAAAAAAATGCCAACACTACAGTGAAACATGGAGGGCATGAAGAAGGAGGAAAAGGACAAGACACTCCCAATTCCTCCATCTTGTCCCCTCTGAACCCCTAATCTAGAAATCTAAAATTTTTCTTTTGCACCCGTTTCACACTTAATTATTACTCTTATCAAACACTCAAAGCTTGTAATTCATCCTGTAAGATTGAAAACTCCTCTCCATGGACAGAGATCACAGACAGTGTCTCTCGGGGCTCTGTCCAGGGGGGTTCCTGACCCCCTGCCAGGGTCCCAGACCTGCCAGGGCAGCCAGAGGGAAGCCCTGGATTCCCACAAAAAGGTACAAGGTTATAAGAACACGTGTGTCATGGTCAAAAGAACAAAAGGCAAAGGGACTATCCTGATACAGATACAGCTATTGTCTGACTCACATGAAAAATGTTATATCTCAAAGCTGATGAATATTGCAGTTTTAAAAAGCACACAGGTTAATGATCAAATACTAGGTCATAAATATTAGAAGTTTTTTTTTTTACTCTCTGGGCTTTCCTACTTTGAAAGTCGAGAAAGATTATTTTTATTTGCATTATCAGACTGAAACATTAAAGTCGCAAGCTAATAATACCATTTCCTGGTGGGAAACAGCAGTGTTATTAGGTACACAAATTATTATCTGACCCCATCTTTTTTTTCTTGTTAGTTTTATTTGTAAGCATCTCAACTTATCACAGTCCTAAGTACAGACCTTTAAAAATTTCTCTAATGCCTGTATTGGCTTTTTTTCTCACTAAAAATATGTGTTCTGATGCACATTACTATTCTGGATGTCCAAGTAATAAACATATTTGAGATCTACATTTACTGAATGTATGGCAAGGTTCTGAATTTCACCCAAGGCTGCAAAAATTTTAAATGGACATATAAGAGATCAAAAAATGCACTTTCAGCTTTGAATTTTCTTTAGATTTTAAAAGGATTCGGGCAAAAAAACACACACAATTTAAGAAAATATAGAAGCATAATTCTAGTATAGAAAGGAAAATATATATTTAAGCTATATTTTAATTTATCTGAATACATGTGGAACATATTCCAACCATTTTCATCTCACAAAAACCAGAATTAAACAATTTCAGTTCAGACTGAATGAAAATGTTTTTTAAAGAACAATGGAAAGAACATCTTTCTTGTAGATAGAAGCAGATAGAGTTTTATTAATTAATTAGTAAGTAGCTCATTTTTGCACTATAAAGGAGTTTAGAAATGACATAAGACCCTTATGAGACCCTGTATAGGAAGCCAACAAACTAAAGAATGTCTTCCAAAAACTCTGCAGAATATAAAGGCTAATTCTTTTTCCACTGCTTCTCAGTTTAAGGAATCCAGGAATCACTCTGTCAAACAATGAAAAGCTTAAAAAAAAAAAAAGTAATTGCATTGTCATTCAGAAGCATGTACAATAAATAATATTTGAAAAAGATAGCAAGCACAGAATATCAGTCTGAAATACTGAGATAGAACAGTATTCAAAGGATTTATTTATGTAGGAAAACAGAGTGAAAGAACTGATATTTAAGCTGACAGCTCTTAAAAATCTAAAGTTGAGCTAAGACAAGTCTTATGAAAATTAGTAGAAAGTAGAGACAGTGTTGGCATTTTACACATTTTCAGGTAAATAATGTGTAAGAAAAATCAGTTTTGGAACAACATATAATGTAGTCTTCCTGGATAAAATCCTAAATATTAACCCAAATAAGCAAATTTTTTCTGGTTTCCATATGAAAAACTATATGCTGTATTGTTTATTTGAAAAGAGATGCTTCAAATTATTTTTTTTTTTTTTTTCAGAAGAATGGGACTCCTATCACTAACCTGAGGCTCTTCGTATTGTAACTGAAGCTTGTTTACTCTCACACCATCACACATTATTGCCTGAAGACCTTCATGTCCACATTCAAGGAATTCTTCCTCAGGATTGTCCTGCTGACCACCATCATTTTCCTCCAATATGGAATCTGAAGAAGAAAGAGAGGTAAGAGGAGAGAGTAACCAAGAGGTGTGGTTAAGAGGTCCTTGTAATGCAAAACAAAAGATAATTTGAAGATTTAACCTTATCACATCTCTACAAACATAAGTACCAATAAGGTTCAGCTTTGCTGGCAAATGCCTTCGGCTTTACAGGTTAGACCCACTAATAATTAGGTTATTAGTGTCCAAAGGAGGGCAATGAAGATGGTGAAGGGCCTTGAGGTGAAGCAGTATGAGAAGTGGCTGAGGTCACTTGGTCTGTTCAGCCTGGAGGAGACTGAGGGGAGACCTCATTGCACTTACAAATTCCTCATGAGGAGACGAGGAGGGGCAGCCACTGATCTCTTCTCTGTGACAACCTGTGGCAAGACCCAAAGGTTGAAGTTGTGTCAGGGCAGGTTTTAGCTGGATCAGGAAAAGGTTATTCACCCAGAGGGTGGTTGGGCACTGAAACAGGGTCATCAGGGAAGTGGTCCCAGAACCAACCTGACAGAGCTCAAGTAGTGTTTGTGCAACACTGTCAGGCACATGGTGTGACTCTTGGGGGTGGTGCTGTGCAGGACCAGGAGCTGGACTCAATGATAAACTGAAGAAATCTTAGGTTTGGTTTCTTTACATTGTCAGTGGGAAAGAAAATATTGTGGTGGGAAGAGAAGTGTTCTGAAGAGTTTGTTTTGATTCTTACTACTTTTTTTTTTTCCTTCTAGTTACTTTTAATAAAATTTTCTGAGTCTGAATTTCTTACATGAAAGGTGTCCAAATTTTAGAATTTGTTGCAATGAGCACAATATTCAATTTAATTTAAGAAATTATTCACCTTGTTTTCCAATATTATTCAATGTACCTTGAGCAAGTCCCAGAAGTGCTGGCCCTTAAAAGCTACTTCAGCCTGTAACTCCTCCTGAAATCAAACTTGGGACTTGTGGGATCAAGCTCTTGAACTTTAGTCATTCCTATTTTAATTTGTAAAGAAATTGAGCCAGGTCGTGGAAGAGGTATTAATAATCTACAGAATATGAGAAGATGAATCATATACGACTGTTTAAGAACATAAACAGATATTCTAAAAATTAAAGCACACAGTCTGAAAATATTTTTAGGGATGTAACTTGTTTGAAATCAATGGAACTAAATACATTAATAAACTGAAATAAAAGCTTACACAATTCCTAAATTAGTCTTGCAAGAGTGACCATTCTCTTTGGCAAATTAAATTATTTAATTCAAGTATCAAAGCCCTATGAAATTACACTGGAAGATAATCTGAGGAGAGGAAAAACAAAAATTTGTCACTAGTTATTTTTGCTTATCTTCATCAACGTATTAAAGGCAGGCATGCTTTCACACAATTTCATAATAACAAGTTGTCCTATTCCTAACACAAACACTAACCAGAAAAACTGATGTTGTTATCAGTATATCACAGCCACACAAGAATATGTCACACCAAAAATGACATAGAACATAATCAAGTGTAGTCTGGAGGCAGCCAGTGAGGGGAAAAAACACAACAGGGAATGTCTTCCAGAGTCAGAATTATGGATTATCTTTCTCCAAGCAGCTAAATCTGTTTATTACCTAGATAATCCCAGAACTTTGCTAGGCCAACTACATGCGGTATTTTTAGAGTTGGTTTTTTGGAGCTTCTTATGAGAGAGAAAAAAATAGATTATGTAAAAGTAAACCAAATTTCATAAAACAGACTTTTTGTTTGCTACAGCAAAACTGTAGACCACAGAGCCATATTTTTAGAGGGAACTCAGTTCTAAACTCTGCTGTAAGTCAGCTTCTTGAAAGGTCTTAAAAATCAATGGGAACAAGGTCACCTGACGTCTTTATAGAAGCTGTTCCTCTTCTTAGTTCAACTGCTTTTTCAAATTACTTTTCTTATTCCTGTATTTCTCTTTAATTTTCAGTTTACTTTCACTGTCTCTGTTATGGTTAAGATCCTCATGTCCTATCCATTCTTGCATGTTTGTGAATAAACTGTAAAAACACAGTTCCTAAATGATCATTGATTATGACACTTCCAATGAATATGTATTAAGTATCTCAAAAGCCACAGAAGCACATGACAAATACTTATTTATGCTTTTCATAATGGGCTCCAGTCCTAGGTTTGATCCAGGACATACTTCCAAATGTATGTGCTACTATTTTAAACCAGGAGGTAATTGCTTACAGGATAGCAGACAGCAGTTATCGGAACCATTAACTCCAGTCATAAAAAAAAATCCTTACATACACTTAAAATAACACTAAAAGATTAAAAAACACAGAATAAAGAGCCTATCGCAGCCACCATGGTATTCTTGCCAGTCCATGTTAACAGTTCAGTTTTGTGTAACTCTTGTCTTACTATCTTTCATGGTGCAGGTCACTGTATATTTTAAAAGCTGGATTTTTTCCAGGAGCTAATTGAGCTCTGACTATGTGAGTGACCTGGTACCTGACACTGACAACATGCAGAAAGCAATTTCTCCAATTGCTTGAAAAGACTAAGGAGTCAGACATGACAAACTGCAGCCTAGAATATCTGGCAGAAAGCCTATTAGTGCTGAAAAGATGCACAAATAAATTACATAATATACACTATCTTAATTTCTGTCATGGAATTCACTGTCCTGAAACAAAAAGTTGAAGTTTTACTTTTTCCCCCCTACATAACTTGTCAGAGGTTTTAAAAGTTAAATACATCATTTATTCTATATGACATACAATTAACTAGTATTCCTACTGCTCCTTGAAGTAAGCTTCCTTTTCATTTGTTAATTTCCTCAGCGTGGGACCTCAGACCCTCATTAGACACACTTCATGTTAGCAACAGTTGCACATTTCATGTGTGAGATTGTGAAGGAAGGTGATAAAAGGTCTATTTCTTTCTGTAAGGCACTGCCTTTAGTTTAATTTTTGTCTCTGGATATATACAGCTTTTTAGCGACATGGATGAGACTGGGCTTTTATTCAAAACCACCACAAACTAGCTCAGGATACAAACAAACCAAGCCAAGCTGGTACTAGCCAAGAAATTGTATACTGGGAAGTCTGTTCCAGGGTTCGTGTCTCCCATGCCTGAATTGTAGGTCTGTAAAGTTCCATGTGCATTAAGGATCAGTTCTGAATTTATGAGAATAAGGAGACCTTAAAGTACTGACTACAGTTATTTGGAACACAACACTGTTCTGTACAGTATTTAAATACAGCATCAGTTCCTGCTGAATGAATTCTAGTGCCTTAGGGCTTTGTTGAGGTAAAGCCAAAGAGCACTTTAAGAGCCCTCAAAGATTTATGCAAAAATATCAGCTAACACTCGAGGACACCTCTAAATTTGTCAGTCCAGCATTTCAAAAATGAGTTCCAAGATCCTTCGCAAATCTGAAGTAAAGAAGCCTAGATAATGATTATATAATCTACCTAAAATATGTATACCTGCAGGGGAAATAGATGGAGATTTTTATTTTGAAATATGAATATGTAACTTTATGAAATATGAAATATGTAACTTTACTTACCCATTGCTTTTTCTGAAGAGAGGAAGAAAGAGTAGAACTTAAGAACTCCTCTTCCATGGGAATACTGAGAGGGGAAATACTAGAAAGTCTTAGAGACGCATTCAAATGAGTTCTGTGGCATCACAATCTTCTATAAATTCTTAGAGGATCCATGTCCATATCTACCCCTCCCTGACACAATTTTTGAAATCCCAGGCTCGGACTGTCCTTTTCCTTGTGGCTCCAGCCAGGGCTCCATAGCCTCCCTGCCTTCCTGCCTGGCAGCTGCTGGGGCCCAGCCCGAGATGGGGGCCGGGGCCAGGGGCCCACCACCTCCTCACCGACCAGAAAAGAAAGAGATAGTTCCCCATTGTTTTCATCTTTAACATGAGTGTTTCACAGAGGCGTGCCAAGCTTGTCAGTGGTTCAACAGATTGTCAGTTACACAAAAAGCTTTTAATCACTTCCCTGAATTTCCTTCCATTCCAAACCATGACAGTGTCCCAGTGGACAACAAGATCGCAATTCAGGAGTCCTTAAGGGCTAGTTAGTTTTTAAGAAATTACTTTGAGAATCTCAGGAGCAGGGAATTCCCCTATAAAGGAGGTGAAGAAGGCAGGCCTGATGACCAGCTGTGCTGAACACGGCACTCCTTCAAGAGCTCTAGAGGTGTAGAAATTCATATGGACTCTGGAAGCAAGGTTGGGTTTTGCAGGAATATGACAAAGCTGTGGATCACATATGGGGGGAGAAGGCACAGAATGCCAAAGCTCAATTAGAGTTGTAAGTCACCAGTGTTTTGTCTGACAACAGGAAGGGTTTTTTCAGTATGGTAATAGCTAGGGGACTTCCAAAGAAAAGATTGGAGCAATGGTTTTTGGCAGTTGTTACCTGATAAATGTTATGAACAAAACAGCCTGGCTGGGACACTTGGCTCGAACTAAGTACTGACATTGAAATGTTAATTAGCTAATTGCTCCTGGGAATCACCTACAACCCCACCCACACTAGGACCGGGATGCAAAATAATCCAGTGGAATCATGGGAGGGGGTTTTGGGGATGAAAAACACCCCTAAAGTGGAAGGCTGGGCACAGTGGAGGGGGCTGGATGGGTGTGCTGGTTGGGGAAAAGGGAACCACATCTCTAGTCTGTGTTTGACCTGTCACCATAACCTGCAGAGTACCAGACTGGACTGGGCTGTGGGAAGCAGGCACAAAGGAACACATACTTCCTGGTGTTACCAGGAGGGAAGGAGAGGGATAGCTACTGCTGGACTTTGGCAACAGGCTCTGCACATCCCCCCACCCTTTGGCTACCAGTGTGCCAGGAGGAAAGGAGAGAGGACGGTCTGCCGGGACTTCAGATACAGACTGCACACCTCTTCACCTCCGGCTACCAGTGTGCCACGGAGACTCCAGGGACAGACTCTGCACGCCTTCTCACCCTTCGGCGACCGGGAAAAAGCTACAACAGCGGAGACGAGCTCCGTGTCGAGCCCCCTGCCGAGCTGACTTTTTAATAAAGAGCTGAACATTAATAAAGGCATAGACCCTGCTCATTTCAATAAAGAGGGATGGAACTTCAGAGAATCATATATTCATAAGTGGCTTGGGTTGGAAGGGACCTTAAAGATAATTTAATTCCAAGCCTTTTGCCACCTTCCACTGGACCAGGTTGCTCAGAGCCTGCCTAGCCTTGAACACTCCCAGGGATGGGACATTCATAGGTTCTTCCTTCTCCCCTCCCCTCCCCTCCCTTCCCTTCTCCTCTCCCCTCCCCTCACCTCCCTTCCCCTCCCCTCATCTCCCTCACCACACTCACAACAGAGAATTTCTTCCTAATATCTGATCTAAACCAACTCTCTTCCAATTTAAAGCTATTCCCTTTTGTCCTATTTGCCCTTGTCAAAAGTCCCTTTTCCAATCTCTTGTAACCCCCTTTTAGGTATTGGAAGGGGCTACAATGTGTCCCTGGAGCCTACTCTTCTCCAGGGCTGTCCTTGTAGGAGAGATTCTCAAAAAACACACCAACCAACCAACCAACCAACCAAACCCCAAAAAACAAACAAATAAATGCACAAAAGTAGAAACAAACAAGCAAACAAGAAATTACAAAAAAAAAGAAAAAAAAAAAAAAAAAGAACCAAAAAGAATAACCAGAAGTCTAGTGATTTAGAGATATTTTCCTGGCTCAGTGTTAATAATGTTGATAGACAGTGGACTAGATGATCTTTAAGGTCTCTTGCAATCCAAACTATTCTATAGTCCTAAGAGTTCATTTAAAAACTAAAAGTCAAGTGGGAATCAGAAAATAAAGCTTTTTAGAAAAAAAAAGAAGGAAACTGTTAAACATTATACTGTTCATAAAAATTATTCTTGTATTCTCACGTACTCTACAGTTTTCCTATTTACTTTTAAATTTTATTCTTCAAGATGTAATATTTAACACCATCTCAGAAAACTATATTCTTTTAGGTTCCTACAGTTGGTTTTTGTATTTATTATTTCCATTCTAAGTATGCATCAGTGGACTTTTGGTCAGCATAAAACATGGATTGCCATGTATAAAACATATAAGTATTCATTGCAACACATTCATTTTTTATTTAAGTAGATGCAGTCAACAGTGACCATTGTTAAAGGGCAGGTGAGTTACACTGAAAGTCACGTGCCAAACAGAATATAGAGGATATTGGTTCACCAAAAATAAATCAGTGTTAAAACAGCACTTTAGAAATTACAAATTTTCAAGATTTCACAAATTAGCCTGCAAAAATAAACTGCATTGTGTCTTTCTCATCATTTGCCCTTCCCCAGCCTCTTAAAGAAATAAGCTAACCTTTTATGATTAAATCCTTGATTAATTAGGATAGTTTCCAATTTTGTGGTGTGATAACTTTGTGGTGTGGTCTGAGAATGTAGTGATTGGAGTTACAGTCAGTCCCTTGCAGTGTTTCACACAGCTCAGTCTTGAGGCTAGACCTGTTTAATATCTTTATCAGCAACCTGGACAATGGGATTGAGCATCTCTTCAGCAAGTTTGTAGATGACACCTAGCTAGGTGGGAGTGCTGATCTGCTAGAGGGTAGATAGGCTCTACAGAGGGATCTGGACAGGCTGGATTCACGGGCTGAGGCCAATGGTGAGATTCAACAAGGCCAAGTACCAGGTCCTGCCCTTGTGTCAAAATAAGCTCATGCAAGCAGGCTGGGGAAAAATATCCAGCAGAAAAGGACCTGGGAGTGCTGGTTGACAGTGGCTGAGCAAGAGCTAGTGTGTGTCTAGGTGGCCAAGAAGGCAAATGGCACCTGACCTCTACCAGCAGTAGTGTGGCCAGCAGGACCAGGGCAGTGATTTTCCCCCTGCACTGGTGATGTCACAGCTTGAGTCTGTGTCCAGTTCTGGGACCCTCACTACAAGAAGGAAATTGAAGTGCTGGAACGTGTCCAGAGAAGGCAAACAGAGCTGGTGAAGGGTCTGGAGTGCAAATCCTGTGAGAAACAGCTGAGGGAGCTAGAGTTTAGTCTGGAGAAAAGGAGGCTCAGGGGAGACCTTGTAACTGAAAGGTGAAGTTGTAGGAAGGTGACAGTCATTTCTCCCAAGTAACAAGTAATAGGAAAAGAGCTACATGGCCTCAAGTTGCACTAGAGAAGGTTTCGATTGGATATTAGGAAAAATTTCTTTGCCAGAAGGATGGTAAAGCATTGGAAGATGCTGCCAAAGGAAGTGGTTGAGTCACCACCCCTGATTGCATTTAAAAGATATGTGAATGTGGTACTTAGGGACATGTTTTAGTGGTGGACTTCTCAGTGCTAGGTTTGGTTCAATGATCTTGATACATTCCTGATATGTAGTGGTTCAATTTCCATAAGCTCCTTTCCATGCTCTTTTGCAACTCAAATAACTATCTAATTTTTCAATGCCAGAGTGCACTTCTGGAACTGAATAGAGTAGGGATAAATGAAATCATCCATGTCTGCTTTTCAGATTGTCCTTGTAGAGCAAAGGTAATTGACCAGCCTTAAATATAACCTTTTATGTCTTCACATTTGTCTTCGGCAGACAGCATGTTAAAATTGTATCTGACTTGCCTTCCAAATTAAGAAAATTTTGCCAGCATATTTTTCTGGCAATTTCTAGCAATTTTCTGAATGTTTATTTAATGTAACTATAAGAGAAAAAATCCTACCTGATGAGCATCATCTACCTAGACAGGTGTGTAATTCTGCCTTTTAAAACCCCAGAAAGCAACCATCTGCCTAAAATCCATGTTGTTTTGATTTTAAACTTGTTTTAGCTTTTTTAATACAACTGTCTTGAAGTTATCTATAGTGACTGATCAAGTCACTTTTTTCAGTCTTCTGTTCAGAAAAAGTTTAACAATATAAATCTGATTATGAGAAGAATTTCAAAGTAGGGTGCAAATCCTATTAAATATCAAACACTAACACATTTTTTTCAGGTGACAGGGAACTCAAAATCAAATCCCATCAAGTGAAGATGTGATTTTCCCAGTAATACCCATTCCCTCATCCTCTTCTCTCAAAATCACATGAAAGAGTTTAAAAAATGTGTGATCTGATCAGGAGTTAATGCTGTTAGGTTTTTTTCTTAATCGTGTGAAGAGGAAGAAAGTGAATATTTCAGTTAGGATCTCCTCATAAAGTATTCTAATTATTCATTAGGAATTTAAATTTTATTTCTGACTTGCTATCCAACACCATAATAAAATTAGGAATTTACCATATTGTATTAGGACAGCTGTGGTAACATGACCTCTCATTTATTACCAAAATCTCTTAATCATTTTATGGTAAAACCAAAACTGTTAGAATTACACTATTATTCAAAGCAAACACGTACAGTCACTTGTTTTCTTTAGACTTATATCTTTTCTCATTGGTATAATTGGACAGTAAATGCCAAATGCAGAAAGAAATTAATTTATCAGTCAGGCTGCATAATAGATTGGGCAAATTTGTTGTAACTTTCCTGTGTTTCTGAATATCTTGTCATGTGAACACTTAGGTCAGTGAACTCCAGGCAAATTCAGTATCAGTGCTGCTATTACAATATTAAGGTATTGAATATATGTGCCAACAGTAACAATTCTTTCCTGATATGTAGTGGGTCAATTGCCATAAGCTCCTTTCTATATAGGTGGTACAGTAACTGTACAAATACTCTTTTTAGAGCAATAAACCATACTGTTTCTGTTGCAAAATCCACTGTTCTTGGCAAGTTAAATCAAAATGCAATTTTTAAGTATGTATTTGTTTTGAAAGAATATATTAAGCTTAAAACTGTATTGTTATCTAATTGGAGACTTTTTATTACAGTATAAGTCCATATAGTAAAAAAAAAAAAAATTAAACTGCAAGAAAGAAAATAAACATGCAATGCTTCTAGCTGTCTCGAGATGTTTTGCAAGGTAATAAATAAACCAGTGTTACTAAAAGAGTAATTAAAGTGTTACTTATATTTATTGCAAACTGTCCACTGTAAAAGCAATAGAAAATCCCAAAAAATAATATAAAAAGGAAATTAGTATTCATATGTTTTTAATATCTGGTGGGCAGATTTTCAAGGTTCCCAGACAATTCAAAAGATGCAAAATGGTCCTTAGTAGAATTTTAATTGTATTGGAGCGTAGACACTCAGATGCTTTTAAAAAGCCATGCCTAAATACTCCTACAAATTGTCTCAGCAGGACTATTATGAGAGATATGATATAGAATTCTAAGCTAAAAGACAGCTGTACATTTGACTGAAATTAGTGAGAATTTCCTTTTGCAAGAAACTTTTCCATAATTATCACTCATATTATCCTTAAACTTCTTTTCTTTGTTTTTTTAATATCCAAATTTAATTTCCATCAGAGACTGCAGTTTCTGGAGTGTCCACCCCTCTGTAAAACTGGGAGACACTGGACCCCTTTGACAGGCAGCCTCCAAAAAGGGAAGAGGATGAAGCAGCTGCTGAGAGGACAAGCAATGGTGGTGACCATATGGCTATGGAAGAGAAGGGACTGCTGGTAATTAGGTGTCACTTCTCTGGAGAATCTTAACTCAGCCTCCTGAAACCCTTGTGACCATGTATCTATGAGGGATATCTAAAGGAGAACGTTGACATCAGATGAAGTCTGGAGTGGAGGGAGAGTAACCACAGCATCAACACCATCTCTGTTCAGGACCTGTTAAATAGGTAGGTCCATTTCGGAGGGCTGGGAAAGAGGAGCTAAAGTAAACTATAAGAGTTAGGGGTATGAAACAAATTGGGGTAAATAAACTCCACTACCAAAGATTTAAATGACAATCAATAGGAAAAGAGGTGCAGCATAATAGAATTACTGCTTGGACCAGAGCAACAGCATATCAGACCAGCAGCAGCAGCAGCAGCAATGTTTGCGATACAAAGCAGCACAGCACAAGGACAGTGGAAGCACTGGAGAATAAACCAGAAAATTCAGAGCCACCTTATTGATGACATGAGGCATTATCAAGACTTCAGCCAGGAATAGAGGACATTAGAGTCAGAAAAGGGAAAACAGTTCAAGGCTGGTGCCGTGCAGAACTCTGCAGGAGAAGAGTGAGAGAGAAAACAGCATTAATTTTATTGACCATGAACCAAAGGGGTGAGAAAATAATGTAAAGCCTCAAAACAGCAGCAAATACTGAGATCAAATTAGATTAATTGCAACTCGCAAGCAGCCAAGAGAGCACTGGAAATATTCTTTTCTTGCTTCGGGATCACTAGAAGAATTAAATGCTTAATAGGTTTAATTCTGTCACTGATTAAATGTAAGAACAACAGCAGTGGAATAGTGTGATAGGTTGTGCTTTATGCAGTTTCACTTACCTTGTTTTCACTGGAACATTTAATCAACTAATGCAAATTCTAATTAATGAGTCAGATCAACAACTCATCTCTGAATGAGGCATCTTGTATCCTCTCTATGTCTATGAATTCAAAGCCATTTCCAGGGACTGTTTTTCTTTGGCACTTTTAGCACTGCTAAACCTTGTGCAGTTAATATAGCAGATTATATTGCATAGCTCAGCAGGTAATTTTTACAATTATTGTTTTTTTAGACTCAGCATCATGGGTGAAGGGAGTGCAAAAAAATAGTAATGGCAAAAACAACTAGTCTTTGGAAATAAAAATATCAATAAAAAACAAATAGCCCCTTCCCTTCCCTTCCCTTCCCTTCCCTTCCCTTCCCTTCCCTTCCCTTCCCTTCCCTTCCCTTCCCTTCCCTTCCCTTCCCTTCCCTTCCCTTCCCTTCCCTTCCCTTCCCTTCCCTTCCCTTCCCTTCCCTTCCCTTCCCTTCCCTTCCCTTCCCTTCCCTTCCCTTCCCTTCCCTTCCCTTCCCTTCCCTTCCCTTCCCTTCCCTTCCCTTCCCTTCCCTTCCCTTCCCTTCCCTTCCCTTCCCTTCCCTTCCCTTCCCTTCCCTTCCATTCCCTTCCCTTCCCTTCCCTTCCCTTCCCTTCCCTTCCCTTCCCTTCCCTTCCCTTCCCTTCCCTTCCCTTCCCTTCCCTTCCCTTCCCTTCCCTTCCCTCTTCCCTTCCCTTCCCTTCCCTTCCCTTCCCTTCCCTTCCCTTCCCTTCCCTTCCCTTCCCTTCCCTTCCCTTCCCTTCCCTTCCCTTCCCTTCCCTTCCCTTCCCTTCCCTTCCCTTCCCTTCCCTTCCCTTCCCTTCCCTTCCCTTCCTTTCCTTTCCCTTCCCCTCCCTCACTGGAACTTCCCACACATGCAGCTGTAACACCTAAACCTCTAGATTCTAATTCACTATCATTCCTTTCTATAAATTGTCCCACTGATCTTAGTGACTAATCAACACAGAATGAGATTAACTTAACAGTGAAATAGACAAAGGAAGAAAAAAAAGAAAAACAAACCCAACAAATAAAACCTTATATGGAATATATGCAGTAATTATGTGATTATATTTTGAGTTATAATATTTTGCTTTTCTAATGTTAATATTTGCCTGATCAGTCAATCTTCAAAAGTTGCATTGACAAACTTGCCTAAATATTTTGCATTCCAGATATACCTCTTTCATCAAGCAGCTGTAGAAGTTTTATGAAAACATATTTAAAAAATTAAATTAAAATCTTAGCATCACTTTGACACAAGTTGGTCCAAATACAACCTTCAAAACAATGCACTACCCTTCATTTCTATCAATGTGAATAATGCAATCCATCTGCTTACCTTTTAACACAAATTTTCAGAGTGGTATGACTAGAAAAAAATCGTACAACTCACCATTCTGCTGTTGAACTCCATCAGTATTTACCTGAATGATGCAGTTTATGGTGTTCTGTCAACACATGTGTGGTCAGGCAGTCAGACAGAAGCTGACTCACTTAACCATTAAAAAAATCCTTGCTAACTTCGGAAAAAAAGAGAAATCTTACTTTCTAAATTACCATATTCTCAGAAATCATCATATATTCAAACAGATTATATTTTAAAACTTTATTACATTAATAACCCTAATCTTCACACCACTGGGATTACTGACCTTGTGGAGGGAGCCTAATAAGACATTCAATAGACAGACGCTCAATATTAGTTGCTGAGTTTCTGTATTCAGTTTCAATTATATATTCTGTTTCAATAATATATTCTGTATTCTGTTTCAGTAATACTAATTATTGAAGTTTAATTTATATTCTTTGTTCTTCCAGAGAGAAATACTATTTCTTTTGATTTCAAATCCAAATATGTAGAAGTGGACTACTCCTGTTGATTAAACAAATATTGGAATAGTCTTTTCACCAAAATGCTAAATGTGGTCATTAATACAACTTGATGCAAGGAAAAAGACCAGTGTGATTAAATTGTAGAATTTTGGGCCAGACAAAAGGAAAGCTTTCAAGTAGTTTTTGTGTGGCACAATTTCAGTTTTGTAGGGAACTAGATATTTCTGCAATGCCAAAAAGTATTGGATAAAATAATCTTTTTTGTGTATGTTACCCCTTAATAGCATGTTCTCAGTGCAAAAACAATGCAAAATTCCCTTGTAGGATTCCTTAATGGAAATAAACATTTTTTTTTTGTTTATTTCTGAAGGCATTTTGGCTCATATTTTAGAATATTTTGTGTAATTTCTTTCTGACTCTGACAATGTTTCCTTCATTGTTGAAAATAATTCAAGTTAACAAAGGAACTAATGGTGCTTTTGTAAATGCACTTATCTCTTTAAAGCTGGGTTTAATCACTTATTGATTCATCCAGGTTCCTCTACACTGCCTCACAAAGCAGTTTTAATACTGAAAAGGAAAGAAAAATACCCAAGTTATGATCTTAATGGCAAAGTCATTTGCAGTGATCAACTACCACTTCTACAGTTTTGATGATAAATTACATATAAAAGGTAATTTTGTCAAGAAGATAGAGTAATCATAGCTACGTTTTGACACAGAGAAAAAATCGCAGTATGATTGTGGTTTCCATAATGCTTACCTAAGTTTCTGAAGCAGACTTATAGACTCATTTTCTGCACAATTTCCTCCACATACTAGGTCCATTTTGCTGTTTTAGAAATACATTATCTTTATCTTCTTTGCTATCTAACAAAAATGTTTCTGTCAAGCCCAGCACTGAAACTACCACAATGTGTCTCATTCTTGTTTAATACCTAAAAAAGAAAAACCACTCACCAAACTAGTGGGTAGTCATATGCATTTAAACATTGAGTAAAGAGGTAAATTGGGCTGACTTCTACATCAGGAACTAAGTTCTTAGCAATTCAGCTATCAGAGTTACACTCATTTACCTGAGATGTGAGCCTTCCTGAAACATTAAGGAATTAAAGGATTCATCTTCCTTGATTCTGTACTCTGCAGCAAGGAGAGATATTTTAGTGCAGCACTCTACAGGATCAGATTTCTCAATCAGTCTGTAAACAGGCTGTAGGTGTGAAGTAAAGGAAAATAATGCAAGTTGTTTATCTTGAACTGAATGGGCTTCAATATAAAATATTACTATGGCTTGCAGAGTATTTGTAATCTGAAACAACACACAACTTTTTCCTCTAGTAAATAAACTAATTTAAAAAGAGCTGGTCACTTGCTACACCCTGTTAGTCAAAAATTTATGTCTGGTGAGTATACATCCTGTAAGCTATGGTGAATAAAATTAGATAGAGGGGACAGGAGTACCAAGGACAGAGGTATGTGATGGATCTGTGCAGCACACAAAGACATAGTGAATTTTTTAAGAACTTTACTTGTACGTAGTCAATTCAAACATTTGTAGTATTTTGCACATAAAGAAAGGTCGGTCTGCACTCAAACAAGCAAATGTATTCTGAAATTATGTTTACTCAGCAAAAACTGCAAAGAAGGTAGGCATGGTAACAAAAGCTTCATGTTTTGTGGAGTTGTATGCTGTTAAAGAGCTATCATGGAAAGGCGGCAGGATGAAGATATAACATGGTGTAACTTTGTTTCTCACTTTATTTCTACCCATTGTGGCTTAGAAAGAGAGCATGACTTTTCTCCAAGTTATGCACCACAGGATTAAGGACACTTTGCATCAAGTCCCAGTTTCATTACAGGCTTCCTGAGTGAACCTTAAGCCATTAAATATCTTCACAGTTTATTTTCTAATTACAAGGATAATTAATATTTCCATTGTTTACACCATTTAAATACCACGAAGGTATTTGAATCTGTGTAAGGCTATTACTTTGTTTGGTGTTACCATAGCACAGTGATTGACTGGCATTACCCTTTCACCTGTAAACAAGACATTTTTTGTGGGTATGTGGTTCCTGTCACTTCCCAAATGAGACTTTCATTAAAAGGTTTGAGAAAGAGTGAGAAAAAGAAAGGCGGAGGGAAGAGAGACAGAGGGAGGGAGGGAAGGAGAGAGTAAGAGAGAGAAAAGAAGAAGAAAGAAAAAGGAAGAAGGAAGAAGAAAGAAGGAGAAGGAGAAGAAGGAGAAGAAGAAGGAGAAGAAGAAGAAGAACAAGAAGAAGAACAAGAAGAAGAAGAAGAAGAAGAACAAGAACAAGAACAAGAACAAGAACAAGAACAAGAACAACAAGAAGAACAAGAACAATGGCGTGAATTTTTTGCTGAGTGCATTATGAAATTGAACCATCATCCAGTGAGATTTAGGTCACTAAAACTAAAGAAATAAATGACAGAAAAGTTCACAGAGGTAGTACCTGGACTCAGAACATAAGAGAGCTGTTGTTGCCTGCCTCCAGAAGCAACAGATAATTCACAAATCTACAATTATTTTGATGATACTTTAGAGGACACTGTCTGGTAGTTGTCCAGTTCAGTCTTTCAGCGATTGGTTTCTAAAAAGATGTGACATGCCTTTGATGCACCTTAGTTAAGCCAAACATAATAATATTTTCAAGTCTTGACAATATAAAACTGTCCTGGTTTCAGCTGGGATAGAATTAATTTCTTCTCAGTAGCTGCTACAGTGCTGGGTTTGGATTGAAGTAAGAAAGGTGCTGGCAACCAACTGCAAACTGATGTTTTTGTGGTTTTGGTAAGTCATGTTTTTGCGAAATCAAGGATTTTTTTTTTGGTCCCATGTTCTTCCAGTGAGAAAGTACGCAGAAGAAGCTGGGACAGATGACCTAAAACTAACCAAAAGGATATTCCAAACCATAGTACATGCAGCCCAGTATATAAAATGGGGGGTGTTACCCAGAAGCGTGGTCTATCTGGGCCTGGGAAGGGGAGTCTGACATCAGTCAGTGAGCACTGAACAGTTGTGAATCACTTGTTTTCCCTTTTTGTATCATCATTATTATTATTTACCCCTATTGTTGTTTTTACTTCATTTTAAATTATTAAAAAGTTCTTATCTCAACATACAAGTTTTGCTTTGATTCTCCTCCCAATTCCACCACAGTGGGAATAGAGGGAGGGTTCAGTGAACAGCTGTATGGTGCTTAATATTCAGCCTTTTTAAAATCATAATACAAACTTTTCTTCTTTTTGGTAGAAATACATTTTGCACTGAAAGAAAAGTGCAAAATTGATAGGAAATTTATAGGAATTATAGAATTTTATAGGAAATTTCTGACCAGTATGACAGTAAATCAGACTAGGATTACTGATTTGCTTTTTTTTAATGTTCAGATGTTGGGATTTTTTTGGTACAGAAATAAAATATAATTAAATTATTTCTCTACATGAG